ATTCCTCCTTACGATTTTGTGACGTTCCCTGATTTTTAACAGCTTTCACAGCTGAACATGATTCACAATAGCGAATAACAATTTTTTTCATCATTTTCGAGATAAGTTTAATATGTACAGTAATAACATCTGATGTTGACAAAATCTAATCTTATTTTAGTAAAGTAAGCTACAAAACAACAATTTAACTGTATTTACGCGAATGAATAAAACAAACTTTTATTTTAAGCTAGTTTTCTTTGCGAAATGACTGATTTATGATGGCTAATAATTTGTTTGTTTTTTGGATTTGAATAAAATTTGCTAGATAAAAATTGGAAAAATATGCTATATTTAGAAGAAAAGTCAAATAAGAATATTGCAAATACAATAACCTCAACCGTAAATATAATTTAAAAATGATTGCGGTTCCTAAGTTATAGAACGTTTTAATGACGTATAAAATTATATAATACTTATTATATTTATAGAATTATCTGCAAATTTTATGGAATAATACTGATCTTACTGCAACATCCGAAATGCTATTGCTATGGAGTATAATTATTCTAAACGCAATGATAATGGATCTCTCTCTTTTGTCGTTTTCCTATTTCTGACGATCGTGATTTCTTCCAATATTCTTAACAATTTTTCTCCATTGGTCTTTATCTTCAGATGCTCTGAGAGCTTCGTAGAATGAGTTTCCAGCTAAATTCTTAATTTTGTTGGACCATCTAGTTGGTAATCATCCTCTTGATCTTCTCCTCGGAATACGTTGCAGACATATTGTGGACAACCTTTTTTTAATCTCAAGTTAGTTTAGAATGGAAATGGTTTGTCCTATGAGCTGTCCAAAGTATGCAGCAATCTTCTCCAGCATTACATCTGTTCTTCTTCTTCTTCAGTGCCCTATCCGGTCCGGATGTTGGCGATCATCAAGGCTATCATGGGTTTGTTGACTGCTCTGCGAAACAGCTCCGCTGAGGTCATCCCAAACCATTGTCGGAGATTTTTCAACCACGAGATACGACGGCATCCCGGTCCTCTTCTGCCAAATACATTACATCTCAAAAGCATAAAATTTTTGGCGTTGCGTCCGCTAAGAGTCCAAGTCTCTGCTACTTATAGAAATATTAACAATACAAGGGCATTCACCAGTCTTAACTTGATATTGGAAAGATATATTTGTCTTTCCTAACTTCAGTTAGGCGACTCATCGCGTTTTTTGCCATACCCGTACGTCTTTAAACTTCTGCTTCACAGTTACCATCGTTAGTTATACTAGACACAAGATAGATAAAACTCTCCTCTATCTGGTGTTCCTGTAACGTCGTAGTCAGTTAAATCTGTCGACCAACATTATTTTTATATGATTTTCACACAAACTTTATTGATTTCTTACTCAACTCTTCGCAGAAGATTAAAGATTTGCTCATTTGCTGTTATAAGTATACTGTTATCAGCAAATCTTAAATTAGAGATTTTCCTATCAGCCACTGATACTTCACCGGATCATACTTAATAATGGGTGAAAAACATAAAACTTTCTTCTTGTTGTTGTAGTACCATAATCTTGTTGGACGCTCCTACGGATTAAACTAAAACGGACCAAAAACCTATTGTAAAAGCATAGGACTTAACTAAATTGGAAATGGAAACATCAGGCAAGATATAGGGAAGGAAATAGACGAAGAAAAGTTCAAATCAATAAATGCAACGATCCAAAATACCTAAAACACATAAACAAGGCAAACAATATGGATGATAAAAACGATATTGAAGTTAATGGACCAAAGTTACAAATACAAAACAAGCCAGAGAAACACAAAAACTAGATACAAAAATAAAAGAAATATGGATTCAGGAACTAAGAAACGAAAAAGAGATATCAGAAATCCAGAAGAAAAAAGTCAAATCAGTATGTTTAACGACCGATATGAAAAAATATTCACAAACCTAAAAACAAATAAAAACACATGAACTGAATAGTTACATAGATTTCTTTTTAGTTGATATGAACAATATTGCACAAATAAAGAGCGAAACAGGCCAAATATATTAAAAGAAGGAGTAATATTCTGGTATTATGTACACCTCATGAATAATTGTTATCCTCATGCATTACAATACTTCAAAAAGAGTTCAAAAGGCTATGTTCACCGAACAACCTCGTAAATGATTCATTTACTTAAGATATTTCTTAAAATCATTTGTAACCGCGTCTATCAGAAGCTACAACTCGAAAATAACCATTTCTACAAAATGTAATACAAGAGATGCACAAGATGAAGGAATTCATACTGCAAAAGAATAACCTGGTTAAGAAGCTTAAGGCTGTTTTAGCAGTTAAAGCACACTGCGATTTTAAATAGGTGTATCACTTATTTTTCTACTTTGGTTACGCCAGACCATCTTTACTCAGTGGCGCCGGCTGACGGGTAGTTTAATGACAACACACGCATTATTCTCCATTTAAATTAGGTTTAAGACGAACTAACTGACCATACATTCATGAGATTTGACGTCACGAAGGCGATAACGATGAAACTAAGCGCCAATGATGAGTAACATGTTTAACTATTAGATTTTAGTATTTGTTTAGCAATTTTTATTTTTTATCACCAAGTGATGGACATAAACAGTTTGGTTTAATAGAACGTTAAACAGTATAATCCAATTTTTCAACAGAAGTTTTAAAAAAATAAAAAAAGTAAAACCATCATTTTAAAACAAAAATATTTTCGAATAACGTGTCCAAGTTTCGAGACATTTTGTCAGTAAATAACAGAGAAAATGCTGTTACTAGGTTTTGGTGCACCGATAAAACAGCCTTAAGAGATTAGTTTGGTTGCATCACAAAAGAACTGTGTGAAACAGATTATAATGACTTGATGATATCCAATCTCCGTTAAGAGAGGAACTTCAAGAAAAAGAGTTTTTCAATGGTAAAGGCAATACAACTTTTAATGTCTTATTTATCATTTCTTTGGTTTTATTTTATCCAGTCTTCCTATAATTCCCATTATAAATTTGTCATTTGCGTTCAGCAAATATGTAATAAAACCATTTATTACTATCACTTTGTTGCAGAAGTTATGTTATTTTTGACATATAAATAGAATGGTTTAATATTGATAAGCTGGTGACGAAGTACGCCTTGGTTTATGACCGTAATTAAGCAATGTTATGTTTGAATGTCAATGTTATTTAACGCTCTTCCTGAAACATGATGTTAACAGACCTTGCATTATTTTGTAGATAAGATTTGGATAAAATGTGTAAATGTTACGGGTTGTAAAAATTTCTAAACAAATAATTAATCTCGGTATACGAAAGAAAAAAAAAAAGAAAATAAGACTCTGTAGATGATTGCGACAAGGAAACCAACATTTAAAAAGAGACGAGCACTTGCAAAATAAAATAGAAGCAAATAGAAAAATATACAGGAAAAAATTACTTCTCTCAAACATTTATTTGGCAGAAGTGCTTAATGAACAACACAAAAACAACCGGAACCAGAGTTTTAACCTTGTTTAGGCTTTACACCTCTTCAAGGAAGGGGTATTCATTTTTTTTGGGGGTATTGGTAGAGTGACAAATCGTGATGATTGATGTTTATTGACAGTTTATTAACAAAGCAAAAATATATGATTCGGGAATAAAACTAAGGAGTTAAGTAACTTTCATAAAATATGTAGAGATTTAAAAAATGATAATTTTAATCTTAAGGGAACTTACTGGTAAGAAAAAACAAAAACAGTAATGTACTCTCTGAACGGAAAGAGAAAATAATTCAAGACATTAAGGACATATTAAAAAAATTGAGATAGTATGTACCAGATTGACGTTGAATCTTTTGCAAGTTTTGACTTTAAATGAATTTAAAGTCACTAAAGGCCTAAAGCAAGGATGCTGTTTGTCGCCGATACTCTTTAAAATATATGTCCAAGAAGCATTGAGGAATTTGAGAAATAAATGTAGATTTATGGGCATCGAAGTGGGACAAGCAACTCTGTATACATTTTTATTTGCAGATGATCAGGTGGTGGTTGCAACCGATGAGGAAGATATAAATTATATGAATCGAAAATTATTTGAGGAATATGCCAAATGGGGGCTTACTGTAAACATAAGCAAAACAGAATATTTAAAAATTGGAGGAAATACCACAGATCTGAGGCTTGAAAACGCAGTCAAGGTTGCAACCAGTATAAATATCTAGGAAGCATCATATCAGCAGATGGCAGAGTTAAGATAGATGTACAAAACCGAATAACCTAAGGGAAAAAATGCATCCGAATACTGAATTCATTACTGTGGTCTAATAAAATAAAGATACATACCAAACTTCGTGTATACAGAGCAATTGTAGAACCGATTACCACATATGGTGCCGAATGTTGGACGATGACAAAGAATGAACGAGATAAAGTAGACGTTGTGGAAATGGATTATCTTAGAAGGTCATGTCGAGTATCAAGAATAGAAAGAATTAGGAATGAGGAAATACGAAACCGTACAGGAATTAGAGATACTCTTTCAGATAGAATACAAGGAAGGCAATTACAATGGTATGGTCACGTGATGAGAATGGAGGAGGAGCGGTGGCCAAAAAAAGCCTTAATGTATGTTCCGCCCGAAAGAAGGAAAAGGGACAGACCACCAAATTCCTGGAGAAGAGAAATTACAAAAACAATGCAATCTAGAGGCTTAAAAGAGGGAGATTGGAGAGAAAGGAAAAGATGGAGGCTAAAATGCGGGAAGGAGCAATCGCCGTAGGACCCCCGTTATATGATGATGATGATGTTTTGATTGCATATTGTTTTTACCAAATTAATTAAGACAAGGTGTCAAATAACTGTATTAAAGAATATCTTGGGAAAATCGTTAATTCTCTGGTCTATTACTAAAATTTCCTGGATTTTAGATTGAAAGATAACAGTTTTAAAATTACTCACAGCTATGTTAGTCCTGATTTTAAACTGAGTCAGAAAAAAAAATAAAAAACTAAAAAAATTATTTTTATACAAATGTATTTTAATTATATAAATTATAAACAACAATAAATACATACATATATTAATACAGATACTGTAATCACAGATTAAATCTTAAATTAGATACTAATATTAAACAGTTTTAAAAAAACCTATCCACTATTTGTAAACGTAACATTCTTTACAATAAATTCACATTTTCAGGAAACGCTTTTGTCTGTGAATTTATGAAGCCTAAAAAGTTATTCCGTACTTAAAACTGAGAGTAAAATCTAAAGCAATGAAGAAATCGTTGTAATAGTTACACTCAGTCACATACAAACTAATTAAGTCAAGCTGCAAAAGAGCACCCAAAGCTTAATAAATGAAAAGTAAATGAAATATCAATGTCAAAAAACACCACGTAACTTGCGGTAGATGCACAGATTAAAATACCGGCGGGAAAAAAGAAAGAGATCGAATTTTTTTATACCTGCTACAGCATTAAACCAAATAATATCAAGTGAATGGTTCAATTTTTATCATCTACAGAACGTATAACGTGAATAATTCTAAAAATTACAGTCTTAATGAAGTTTTACTATGAAAGTTTGTTATTTGTCTAAATTCTGTTGACGGTATTCCTCATTTCCAGAGTAGTCGTTTGTTCTCCAATTAAATACTGCTGAATTTCTTCCAGTGTTTTCCCCTTAGTCTCCGGTACGTACTTAATCACAAAAACTAACCCTATAGTACTGCAAATTGCGAAGAACAAAAAGGGCACCGACATTGTTTGAAACTGGTCTATAGTAATCTGAAATATTTTAGATACAACAACGCCCATGAGAACAGAAAAGGTGTCAGCTATACCCAAAGCCCTAGCTTTGACATTAGTCGGAAAGAGTTCACTGAGAACACTCACTGGACCGTATGCCAGTCCTATACTAAAGAGTACGTTATACGATACTAGAGCCGTTATTGGTATCCAATCCAAGTTTTCAATGATGCCTGCTTGGAAATCCTTAAGGTAGAAATACATTCCTAGTAAAAACACAGATATAGCACAACCTGCAGTAGAAATGATCATTAAAAGTCTCTTTCCGAATCTGTCCACTATAAAGTACGTGCTGGTTGCCACTGCAGCTAACTCCACGCAACAATAGACAATTACTGAAAGAGTGGGATCGATACTACTACCAGATTCCCTGAAAATTGTTTCTGTATAGAACAAACATGGGTTCTTACCACTAAATTTGTTGGTCAAATTTAAGATCAAGAAAATGCAACATGCTTTTCTGTTACTGGACACACTAAATAAGTCAAGAATGCCAGCTTTCTCGGATCGTTCCTGACGTGTAACTGCTTTGCATATACTTTCCATTTCATCGTCAACTGCTGCCTTTCCTCTAAATATCTCCAACGATTCCTTGGCTTTTATGTAATTATGCCTCTTAACGTAAAAATAAGGAGACTCAGGCATAAACGCAAAGAACAGAAAATGTACTATAGGTATTGTAGCACAAACAATACTGGAAGTAAATATATTCATGATAGATCCAACAATATTAATAAACAAAGTACCAGTTATAGCGAATATGGCTATAGTTGCAGTCAAAAAACCTCTGATCTTGGGGTCAGAAATTTCTCCGATGTACATCGGTAACGCTGTATACGAAGCTCCTTCCGTCGCTCCAATAATGAACCTATAAATAGATATTTCCCAAATTGTCGTCGAAAAAGCGATAAGAATGAAGCTAGCTGCTACTATCGGAGCCATTATCAAAACGGTAACCTTGCGTCCTAGTATATCAGATACATACATAGCTGCCAGGGCTCCAAACGGTGATCCAAGTAGTGGAGCGACAGCACACCAGGAACCTTCTTCGTTTGTTGGAGGTGTTATTGATTCGGTGTCGTTTGCCATCAGTTTCGGTAAGTACGGAGATGTCCAACCAAGATTTATACCAGAACTCATTATCGAGAAAGCTCCTGAAAAAATAAAAACATTTACTTCACTCAAATTTTTCGGTAAGGATTATTTCTATTGCATAATATGGTAGAATCTTGGACTCTTAAGAGTCATACAAGTAAGAATATGAAGTTGGTAGTAAAAGTCGCGGTAAAAAGAAGGAGAGTACAAATTGATTACATTCAAAGAAATTACAAAGAGACTAGGTGAAAAGGACAAACGGCGAAAGAACTAGGTAAAGGATACAAATTGTGGTATGTAGAGAAGATTAACACTGGCAATGTGTTTGATATAATTTTTGAGAACAAAATGAAAGAAAATATAATAAATGTTGTAAGAACGCGCAATAGAATAAGGGCAGTGACGATTTCAATAAATTCGTTACGTTTATGGACCATTATTGTCGAGTTCAGTGTTTCCTTTATCAATCAGATATATTTTTCAGGGATATTTTTTCTAATATGTTATATAACTGGCTTGTCTGTATTGATTAATTTCACGTAAAATTCTTATACGGATTTTTGCAGGTTATATGAGGTACTTAAAAAGGTGCTTAGAATAAATATTTGATAACTAAAAACGAATTGATAGAGATTAGTGAATGTATGTGAAGAACATTTATTTGGTGGCGTTACTCGTGACGTCTTGTCCTGGCGTTAGTTCAAAAATATTCAAAAAATGTTCTTTTTATGACCAATAGGAACCAGGATAGCATTGTTCTCTTAAAATCATATTTCCATTAATTATAAAAACTAGGAGCTGAAAAGTGAACCGATTTTAAGTGAAGATCGTGCTTTTGTGATACATTTTATAGATGACATATACAGTGAAGGAGTTAAGTTCTTACCCGGTAAAATGGAGGTACTCATACAACACCACTACGAAAAAGTAAAAAAGAGAACTTTCTGACCTCCGATTTTTTTAAATGGAACCTCAAATTGAAGCCCGCTCTAAAAATTTGCAATATCTTGCCTTTTATGGCACACAAAAATTCATTTTTTAAACTGGATAGCTCAAGAAAATAATAAGAACTGGTCTAGTTTCACCTCCCGGAAAAATCGAAAAATACCGAAAAAATAAATAAATTAAATTTTTCTATAACAAAGTTGTTAAAACTTCGTAAGAACTATTAAAATTTTAATACGAATCTGTTTGTATTTGAAAGAAGAATTAACAATAAAACAATAATTATTATATATTTATATAAATAATATACATTAATCAATAAACTTTAAATATTTATTACAAAATAATAGTATAATAATTCAACTTAAAAAAAAATATAACTAATTGATTTTTCCGGGATTTTCCGCTTTTTTTGGAAGGTGAAAATAGCACAGTTCCTATTATGTTATCAAGCTACCACAATTAAAAAAAAAGCAAGCTTCGGCGGGCCATAGAAACTGAAATATTGCAGATTTTTTCGGCGTGATCCAATTTGAAGTTCCATCATAAAAAAAAGGATTACGGGTTCTACTTTTTTACTCCTTCTCGGTATAAATTATAAAATGGATCATCGATATTTGATTTTCGTTTATAATCTGTTCAGTTTTTAACTCTTAATGGTAATAAACAATGGAAATATGATTTAAAAAAAAAATGCTATCTTGGTTCCTATTGGTTATAGAAGGTTTGTTTTTTTAAGACTGTGTTTTTTACCATGTTTTCAGTGGACCGACTTACAAGTGCGTGATATAACTTTCATTGTAATTATAAATGTTTTTTGATATCAATTTTGATAAAATGTTGAATTTTTTAATATGTCTTAAGAATCGGAGCCTTACAGAATCGTTTTCGATTTGCTACAGTCACTGTTTGGCCAGTACAATTTAATCTGGCTAAAATTTACCACATTTCAATAACTCATGAATTATCCTAGTGTTAAGTAATTATGTTACATGTCATTATGGACATATACGAATCTAGAACACTGCCACAAAGATGGTTGGAGTCTACATTTATCCCACTTCCAAAAAAACCTAATACATCATCATGTAAAGACTTTAAACTAATTAGTCTCGAGTCACTCTCTCAAGCTACTTCTTAAGATAATTCTTAATAGAATCAAGCAGAAATGTAAAGATACAATGGGAAATAAACAATTTGGTTTCAGAGAAGGATTGGAAACAAGGGAAGCTTTATTCTCAATGCTAACACTACTTCAACGATAATGGGAAAAACAGAATCCAATTTATTTCTGTTTTTATAGATTTTGAGGAGGCATTTGATAGGGTTCAACATGGTAGGCTGTTTGAATATCTAGAAATGATTGGATTAGATGATAAAGATCTGAGAGTTTTACATCAATATTGGAATCCAGAAGCATCTATTCTGGTAGACGACAAATAAACAGACAAAATTTGTATTCAAAGAGGTGTTGACAAGGTTGTGTGTTGTCCCCAACTTCGTCTAACGTTTACTCGATTTTTTTTTTTTCATGGATAGAGTGAGATACTAGTATTAATATAACAGAGTAAGGGGATAATAGATGAAGATTCATACAGTAGCTTGAGAGTGAAAGAAGGCGAGTTATATATTATTATCTAACAGAAAGATCGAAATGGAACTGAAAGAGAAATTCTATAAACTGCTAATTGGCAATTTTATTGGGCAATTGATGCAGCAATGACGGCATGTAACTCCTCAAAATAGAAACATAGAACTATAATCAAGAAACCAAATCGGCATAAGAATAAATACAAAGAAAGCAACATTTTAGGAGAGGAAAAAATTCGGTCGTAAAACAAAAATTACCGCTTCTACAAAAAAAAAATAAAAGCATACATAATAGGGTCTGCAGAAATAAGTAATAATAAGATCAATTAACTAAAATAGAACTAAGTAGGAGATTTTCTACCCATACAACGAAATATTATGGAAAAATATAAAACTCACTTAAAAGTAATTTTAGGTGACCCGAATATAAAAATGGATCAAAAAATAAACGAGGCAATCTTAGGCAATAATCAGAGGAAAAACCATTCCTCCCAAAGCCATTTAATGAATTAGAAAAGACTAGAGGGCGAAACATGGACGTAAATAATTTATTCTCTAATTAAAAAACTTCAAATCAAATAGAATTGGATGTCCCAAAAAAGTCTGGACGAAATAGATTGACCAATAACATTCGAAATAACTATCATAATAGATATAAAAGTATTTAATAAGTGTCAAAAGGGCAGTGGTCATAGATTAGTAAAGAAACATACTTTTCTTAAAAACGAATGTGTAGTGACTTTACCTGTAATAGTGGCTACATATTGAAATAGATCTCCCCTATTGTAAAACACTAACTTCTTAATATCCACAATCATTTTGGACAACACTGATAAACTTTCTAAAGATGTCAAGCTTTTGGTACATGATCCAGTCTTTTATATTAATATACAAGGTAAATAAACTAATCCCATTACAATACTTTTTGTAGCTACTCACAAGATCTCTTGAAAATCGTTTTGACAAGACGATAATATGAAATATTTGCTTTGTTTGTGATAGAGATTCAAAGTCATTTGTAGTTTTTTTTGTATTTTTAGTTTACCGTAATAAAGATAAGAAGTAATTTTCCAGTATTTTCCTCATTTAGACTTACTTAAATATACAAAGTATTTTATAGAACTAAATTATATAAACAAATAATCGTTATGATGACATGGTTTTTACTATTTCGTTATCAAATAAGAGATTAACATAAGAAAATAACTTACCTAGCTTATTTTTGTACTAAAAATAAAACAGTTTCCATAACAAACATTAATTCTTCTTTAAGGACAAAACAACTAGGAACTTTTAATTTTAATTAAAAGTTGGTTATAATATCTGGTGAGTCATTCTTTCCTTAAATGAACAACCTCCAATAATCCTAACAAATTTTCTCCAGCTGCTCTATCTTTAGTTCTCTATCTTCAGCTACTCTAAGTGTTTCGCAAAATGAGTGGCCTTTTGAATTCTGAAATTGGTTAGATTATCTGGTTGGAACGGTCATCTTGGTCTTCTCTCCGGAACTTTTCCAGAAACAATAAACCTCCCTAAATTATCTCTTCGAACTACATGACCCAAGAACTGTGGAATTGTAGAAACGTAACATTGACTGCTAAGTTAAACATTTTCATTCTCGTTAATCGGGTAAGTTTCTATGGTATGCCAAATTCACACATTAATTGGTATAGCATTGTGCTCTTTACTTGGTATAGTACTGCTGTCTTGAAGTCGACGAATAGGTGATGGAAGTGAATATTAAAGTTTAATGGTTTTTCGAGGATTTGTCTTATTCAATGAATCTGGTCAATTGCTGATTTTTCTTTGGAGAGTCCGAAGAATTTGGAGAATTATACACACTGTGTAAAGTTTTTTTGTAGAGAATATTTCCCAGTATTTTGTAATCAGTTGTTAATAGGGTTATTCCTCTGTAGTTATCACCCTGGAGCTGAGATCTTGAGACCATTTAATGAGTATGGTCTCATTTTGCCAGACAAGAAGTAAACATTTATGCAGTGTCTTTAGCAGGATGACTCCATCATTATTGTAGAGCTCACTGCAAATTTGATCAGTTTGCTCGTGTAGTAATTCTCAAGAAAATTCACAAAACCGTTGTCGTCAATAGTACATTGAAATTACTTTAGACAATAGAGACAGCAGCATATGAAAGCCCTCTCAAGAGACCAAAGATGCAAATATCTGCTGATAAGCTCTTAATTTCTGTTTATTGATTTTTGTAACTTCTCCCTGAGAAGATGATTGATATATGAATTTAGAGGAGTCTTAAGAATATTATTAGTAGAATATTACCAAAAAGAATATTCCGACATGAACACAATTAATAAAGAAATGCAACGAAAGCTCTTGAAAGCAGGACTGACTGTTGCAAAGAAAACGAAAATTAAAGAAGACAGAATAAGTGACGGAACAAAACGGTTGATGGAAAAGAGACGCATATTTCTAAGCGGAGGAAAGCGAAACACCGTTGGTTAAAATTCTTAACAGTTACTTAAACATTTTACCGCGATTTATATTCAGGTTTAAGACCCCAGAGAACACTGCAGAGAAAAATAACAAACGTTAATTCAGAAACACTCCCTAACATAGAATCCTTTGAATTAAAACAAGCAATGGTACAACTCAACAACAATAAGGCTCCAAGCCCAGATGGAATACTTATAGAAATCTTCGAGGGAAGTGAAATTATTCTCGAAGAAGTAAACATTTTTTCAACTAATATCTTCACAGAGGAGAAGTCCCAGATGATTTAAATGAAAGTTTGACAATACTTCTCTTCAAAAAAGGAGACAGGAGAGATCTGAGGAACTATAAGCCAATCTCCCTGCTATCCCAAATGTGCAAACTGTTTATAAGAGTAATTACCAATAGGTTAATGTCGAAGCTTGATAGCTATCAACCTCTAGAGCAGGCAGGATTCCGAAAGGGTTACAGTACAGCGGATCATCTTCTTACAGTCAGAAGAATAGAGAAAGTCAATGAATATCACTTGAACTTACATTGGCTTCGTTGATTATGAAAAAGCTTTTGACCCCATAGAAATTTGGGCAATAGAGAGAGCTATGAAAAACTATAGGATAGACTCATGCATAATATTTACAAGAAAGCTACAATGAAAATACAAATAGATGCGAAAACCAAAGCTATACCAATCAATAGGGGAGTTCGCCAGGGAGATGTTATCTCACCAAAGCTATTCACACTTGGACTGGAAGACTTGTTCAAATACATTAACTGGACAGATAAAAGAATAAATGTTAATGGAAGAAAACTGAGTCACTTGAGATACGCTGATGGTATTGTAATATTCGCTACAAGTTTCGAAGAACTACAGACCATGATGGTGCAACTATTTCAAGCTTCGGAAAAAAAAGATCTTGAGATGAATTTGGAAAAAATAAAAATAATGACAAATACACCGAACATTAGAGAAATAACGTTGAACGACATAAAAAAATCTTTTTAATCTATATTTGACAAAGAATTCCATACCATCTGAATGTAATAGAGCCAAAACAATTCTTCTGCACAAAAAAGGAGAAAAAACTGATCTGGAAAATTACCGACCAATCAGTCTGTTAAACCATCTTTATAAACTTTTCACGAGAGTAATCACCACAAGATTAGAAAAGAAATTAGACCTATATCAAAGTAGAGAACAAGCTGGATTCAGAGCAAACTTTGCAACCAATGATCACCTCCAAACAATAAAACAACACATCGGAAAATCTATAGAATATAATAGGCCTGTAGTTTTAACATTCATAGATTTAAACAAAGCATTCGACTCAGTAGAACTCGACAGTGTTATAGAATTACTAAACGAGAGCCGCATTGTTAGCCGATATTAGAGGCTATGTAATATATCTAAAAGTGCGATAAGCTCGATACAACTACACGCTAACAGCAACCAAATAAAAATCCAAAGAGGTATCCCACAAAGTGATACGTTGTCATCTAAACTTTTCATATTGACTCTAGAAAAAGGGATCGAAACCCTGGAATGGGGTGACAAAGGATTAAATGTGGACGGAGAGATGCTACACCACCTAAGCTACGCAGAGGATATAGTCCTGATTGCAGACGATTTGGACAAAGAAAACGTTGGAACAACTTAGTACAGCCTGTCATAACATCTATCTATCTATCTATAGCCCAAAATCTATTCATGTGTTGAATATAGGCCTCTCCCATTTGTCTCTGTCTTCTGTTTGTCTTTTCCACATTGGACCTGCGCTTTGCTCAATGTCATCTTTCCATCTCATTTGCGGTCGACCTCTTGATCTTTTTGCAGTATATGGTCTTCAGCAGCCAATTTTTTTATTCCATCTTCCATCCTGATATTATATACTATTTATACAGCTCATATAGGTCAAAGCATAATAACTAGCAAACAAGGTAAAATATTACAATTCGCAGATGATATATGCATATATGTAGATCAATTGGAAATCGAACAAGGCGGTAGAAAAATAAATACAGTATTTAAACATCTACAAGAAGACCTAGATCAAATAGCATTAAACATATCAACCAAAAAAACACAAGCTTGCATATTCTCCCGAAAACGAAACATTCCAGAAGTAGTGGAGTTGCAAAATGTCTCGTATAAAGTTCAACCCAAAGTTAAACATTTGGGTATTATACTGGATAGAAAAATGATTTGGAAAGATCATATTGAGTACATCGTAGCAAGAGCTGACAAAGGGTACAATGCGTTACGAGCAGTAAACTATACAACCTGGGGAGCAGATCCCAACATAGCATTACTAATGTATAGATCATATATAAGATCAATATTAGATTACGGATGTTACTTTTACAATCAAGCCGCCAAAACCCATCTTCAAAAAATAGACATCCTTTCAAATAAATGCCTCAGAATATGTATAGGAGCTTTAATGAGTACTCCAATATCAAATCTAAGCGTAGAATGTAATGAACCACCACTATGGTTAAGAAGGAAAACTATGTGTGAAAAATTTATAACTAAAATGATAACTAAAGAGAGCATAATATGTAACAACTGCCACAAACTTTATATAAATGACCTAACCACTGAATACTGGAAGAAAAAGTCAACATTACTACTTGCCGAAAGTTACAATAGAATAAGACAATTTAAAAATAAACTATACATATCAACTCTGTCATCCATGCATCAGATAAATCTCAACAATATACCAAACATACAACCAACCTACATGAGAGATTACTCGAAATTTCCAGTTTACTTAAGGAATGCCATGTTTAATGTGGATATAGAAACTTTATTCCCTGAACATTACCAAATTTATACCGATGCCTCAAAAATGAATTCGAGAGTGGCCGCTGCCGTGTGGGACCCTAGGACAAGCTATAAAGAGGGTATACGACTTAATGAAAATTTTACAATATTTTCAGCAGAACTTATTGCAATACTAAGAGCAATGCAGTATATAAGCAGTATAAACAATAACGAAGAGAAATTTCTAATCCTTACAGACAGCAAAAGTGCTTTACTTAAACTGGAAAGTTTGAAGGACATATCAAACTACATATGTATTGACATTATTAAAGCATATATCGCACTTAAGGCTAAGGGCAAACAAATATCATTTTGTTGGGTAAAAGCTCACTCTAATCTTAAACACAATGAAATAGTAGATACTTTAGCTAAGAAGGCCACCGAACAAGAAAATGAAAGTGAATATAAATTAACATTAAATGATGTTTACGCAAATATTACCAGCAATAAAACCAAAACCTGGCAGCAATGGTATAACCACTCAACTAAAGGGCTATTCTACAAAAACATACAATTAAATATTCCAGCTAAATCCTGGTTTAATCATTACCACGGCGAAA